TTAAATAGCATTTTTACTTGTATCCGACCGAATAACATGACATTAGATAACGAAATATATGCCGAGAAATTTGGTCCATTTCCCAGTAATCGTTAAAGAAGAAATAAAACATCATGCGCCTGCGTATAATCAGGTCACGTGACTACGACGCGGTCGTCTATTTTAAATAGCGACTGTAAAAACGAGGGTGACGTCTTCTTTTCCGGTGTCGCGTGCATCTTCTAAATGGACGCAGCAGTGGCTGAGAAAAATGGGTGACGAGTATTTTGATGTCTGGGGGTTCGACGACTGGAATGTAGGAGGGGTAAAATTAGGGAAAGCTGGATCATTTGTTTTTTTTTTTTTGTGTTTTTTTTTTAAACCAATTTACAGTACTTAATGCTGGTGTTAAACTACTTAGCATGCTTTGGTGTCGCCATTTTTATTTCTTCCAGAATGACTAAATTCATTTTAACTATTAGTTGAATTCGTCCTTTCTTGATTTCTGAGCAGTAGTGCTTCTGTCAAACCAGTTGGCCAAAATATCTGGATTACTTTAGATTGGGTTGAGTTCGGCATATAAGCACATATGTAGTTATTTGATGTTGAAATCTGCTTTGTATACTTGAGTCTATACTGGTTGAGTTTGTACATGAGGCTATATGTAAATATTGGTCGTGTTCATAACTGACTGTATGTCATCATTAGTCGATTTATATTTGAGTTAATAGATAAACATTGGTAGGTTTTGTACTTGAATATATGGGACAATTGGTTGGGTTTGTACTGGAGGCCATAGGTAAATATTGGTCGATTTTATACTTGAGCCTATAGGTGAAATTGCTAGGTTTATACTGGAGATAAACATTGATTGTGTTTATATTTGACTTTATGTAAACATTTGTTTGGATTATAGTTGAGTCTATAGACAAGCATCGTTTGAGAGTATAAGAAAATATTGGTCGGGTTTCTACCTGAATCTATAGGGAAACAGTGGTTGTGTTTATACTTGAGTCTATAGGTTAGCATTGGTAAGGTTAACAGCTGAGTCTATGGGGAGACATTGGTCAGGTTTGCTTCTCTACAGGGGATGCAATCAGCCTGTTTCAGGCCCCGCTCCTGGCAATATATGGAAGGGTATTTTTTTTTTAACTATAATTTCTTTTCGAACAAAACCGAAAAGCATAAGTAGGAACGAAATCGTTGTCAACGGTCTGCGAGTTTGATGAGTTAACTATTGCTCTACAGAGAATGTTACCGATAATCCATTATTAAGAATATATATTTTTTCATATATTTTACGTGTTGCAGAATGCCATTTTTACGGGGACTGAACTTACAAGCAGTGGCTTTCGAGACTCTATTGCAAACTCTCTCCAATCTACAACTCAAGACCAAACGGAAAGAAGGACGATTGTAATGAACTAATTCTCAATCTGGGGAGGGCCTATCTGCCGTGAAAATCAGCGCTTGTAATCTTGGATATTAACGATAATCCGATAATGTCCGACGGTTGCTACTTCACTTATAATAAAAACTAGCAAGTTACTAAACTTCATTTAGCACAAGTCCATAAACGCGCTTTTTTAGACAAGCTTACTATATTTTCACTATTAGACAAGCTTACTATATTTTCACTATTATAGAAGCTTACTATTAGGTTGGCGCAAAAATAATGACGTCAAAAAACGACATTCTTACGTCATTATTTTTGCACCTAATAGTATCTATCTATCTATCTATCTATCTATCTATCTATCTATCTATCTATCTATGTGTGTGTGTGTGTGTGCGTGTGTACTCGAAAGTCTTTTTAAATAAAGAAGACTGAAAATCCTGGTTATGACAATAATCTATATGCGACAGCAAGACCTATGATTGGGTGATTGGAAGTTTTCATGAGCTGTTGTTCCCAGGTCCACCCTGACCCGAGGTGGTAGCACCTGTTAGGGTCCCAGCTATGGACAAATACTAAACTCCAAAACAAAACTCAAAGCACTAGGAAATTATAAAAATACATTTTTATAGTAAGAATACCAGTAATACTTTTATATAAAAACATTACCAACAGTCCATATTTATAGTAAAAAAAAAAAAATACCAGCAATATATTATTGAAAAAGGAAGAGAAAAATTACCAGCAATACATTTTTAAGAAAAAAAAAGCCAAAACTCTCAAGAAAATTGAATTTCGACATTAAATGACCCATGAGTTGATATACCGTTTAAAAATTCAAATCAAATCTCTTAATTATTATTATTATAAATATTAGTAATAATATTACAATAGCTGTCATTAGAATTATTATTATTATCAAATTATAATTCTGCTTGTTTCTACGCTTTGCCGGTAGATCATATATAATAGAATATTCAGTTTTGATCGCGACGTCAGACGTAAAGACTTATCAGAGAAACCGTTTGGTTTCAGCGATAAAAAGAAAGAAACAGATAGAGAGAGATAGAGCGAGAGAGAGAAAAGAAGGAGGGGTCGATAACTCTTTCATGTGCTTAACGTCTGCTTTAGTGAAATAGAAATCTTGTTAAGTTTTGAATCTCTTCATTTGTAGTCTTTCACTTCTTTAAATAATAACCTGCGTTCAGACTTATTGTTATTGCGTGACTGGATTAAACTTGTTAAGATCAAATATTCAGCGACGCAACAGGGGAATTTCCACGAGTATTTTATGGCCGTAGAACTAGCTACGAGTTTACTCAATCATTAAATTAAGAATTAATATTCATCAGAATATTAAAATAGGAAAATCGTGAAAAGTTTACGGTTCTCCTATTTGTATTTTTTGACGAATCTTAATTAAATTAAAAACTTTAATTTAAACCTTGCGAAACGTTACTCTTTTATCATCATATTCTTTCCGCAATGTTCTCTTCTCTATGTACCGTGTCCCTTCAGGAGGTAGGCGATTAAGGCTCTCCACGATTTCCTTTCCTTCGTAGTTCTTAATAAGTTTTGTCTTTTCGTTATGTCTCCTAAACCTTGTAAATAAAAGTTAGAAGTATAAAGTTGAAGAAGACTTTAGAAGGAGCCCGAAACACGATCCTAAACAGGAAACAAGGGATAAACCCCTACTCCTGTTCAAAAGAATGGAGAGGACAATAGGTAAACCTGTCTACTTCTATTACTTTTTATGATTGTTAGTGCAATATTTTGTTAAAGTTGTTAAGTTCAAATATTTAACGATGCAATAGGGGAATTTCTACGAATATTTTCTAGTAAAACTCGCAAAAAGTTTATTCAATCATTAACTGAAGAATTAAGATTCATCTGGAAATTTAAATTGGAAAAACGTGATTTTTTTCACAGATACTACTGGTTAACACTATTATTATTATTATTATTATTATTATTATTATTCTCGCATTTTTCTTATAATTTTTTTCTTATTATTTTTCTCCTTATTATTATTGGGGTGTCTTCGTTCTTCGCTTGTTGTTTTGCCAATCGTATATCTTTGCAAAGCTCTATAAAATGTTTACAATCTCGACTGTTTACTAACTGCGACCGTTTTTTTTTTTTCCTTTTCAGGGATTGTTCATTTTCATAAGCCCATTTTTGTCCGGACAGAAGGCAAATAGTTAACCATGTCCCCTGCAGCCACTGCTGCCGGGGATGGGGAGGCGTGCGCGAAGTTCAAGCAAGGGGGCGTAAAACATGGGTGTTTTTTTACGTGAAGTTAAAATAAAGTGGCCCTCCCTGTGCACCCAAGCATTTAGTCAGCCTTTTACGATTTTAAAATGGTGGATGTGGTTATAGGAAAAAAAAAAAAAAAAAAAAGAAAAGAAAAAAAAAAGAAATGAAAAGAAAAAAGAAAAGAAAAGAAAAAAAAGAAAAGAAAAGAAAAAAAAGAAAAGAAAAGAAAAAAGGAATCAACCCGAAGAAAAGGAGAAAGAAGAGATAGAATGGAAAAATAAGAAGAATAAGGTTTTTAGAGGTGGGAGGAAAAGAAATTGAAACATGGAAAAATACAAAGAAAGGAAATAAAAATGGGGAAAGGAAAGAAGAGGGTAAAGAGCAAAAAGAAAGAATAAAAACGAAAAAAAAAGGATGAAGAGAAAATTGATAGAGAACCTAAGAGAGAGAGGAAATAAAAAAAGGTTAAAAGAAAGAAAGGAAGAAAGAGTATAAGAGGGTGCAAAGAGATAAAAGTACGTTGAAGAAGAAAGAATGAATGAATGAAACAATGAAACAATGAAAGAAATAAAGATAGACAGAAAACAGAAAAGAAAATACACATAGTGATTGAGACAGAGAGAGAGAGAGAGAGAGAGAGAGAGAGAGAGAGAGAGAGAGAGAGAGAGAAAAGAATGATTTTGACGAATACAGTGTAACCCGGATATAAGAGAGTTATCGGGACCGGAGAAGAAGTCTCTTATATCCGGGTTTCTCTTATATCCGGGTTTCTCTTATATCCGGGTTTGGTCTATTTCGTTTAGGTAAGTATGGCTCTAATTTGGGACCAGAGAAAATCTTTCTTATATCCGGGTTTCTTTTATATCCGGGTCTCTTATATCCGGGTTACACTGTATATGAAAAGGTAAAGAAAACAATGAAAAAATTTAGGAATAAGTAATTAAAGAAAAGAAATTAAAACGAAAGAAAACCCAGTGAAAGAAATCAATAAAAAGTAAGTAAATGTTAATATAAAAGAAAAAGTAAAGAGAGAAGCGAAGAAAGAAAACAAAAACTAACTAAAAATACAGAGGGGGAAAAAAAAAGAAGATTAATGACGATGAAAAAAAACAAAAAAAAAAACACGAATAAATGAAAGGAGAGACGTGAACCGAGAATGAAATAAGAAAGAAGAAATAAAATAACAGAATGAAAAATGAAAGTGCTCAAAAATCGAGAGAAGAAAACGAAGGACATGTGTCCTTAAAACTAAAAGAGAAAAGAAGAATAAAAATGAATAAATGAAGCAGAACAATATGTGTCAACAATTATTTAAAAAAAAAAGCGCGAATGAAAAAGGAAGGAAAAAGTCAGGGGAAAATAACGAATATTAAATAAGGAAAAAAAAAACGAAAATTAACAGTATGACATAAATGAAGACGTTAAAAGAAGAAAATAAAAAAAGGCAGTCGTTAGCGACGAATGAATAAAAGATAGAATCGAACTGTATGAAACGAAGAAAAAACATGAAGGAAACAAACAAATAAATGAATAAAAGAAAAATCTAAGGAAAATAAAAACAGTAAACATTAATGAAAAAAAATGTTTAGTAACGATAAAACAAACGACCTAAAAAAATGGCAGCCGTTGGCGACGAACGAATAGAGGAAAAAAGAAAAAAAGGGAAGAGAAAAAAAAGGGAACAAAAACGTGAAGAAACAAGAAACTAAAGAAGAAATAAATACAGAATTCATTAACGAAAAAAGGAAGACAAAGTAACGACCTAAAAAGCGAAAATGACAGAAATCATTGAGAAAAATCTGAAAAAGAAACAAAGGTGGAAAAATAAAGGATTGAATGAATGACGCAAAGGACAATATGGTGTTCTAGAATTGGGGCGGGTAAGGAGTTTTAAAATCGAGATTTGCCATTGTAACTAGCACACGTTCAGCTCATGGTTGACTTGTTGTGAATCGTATTATTACATCTATATTAGGTTTGGATTGACGTTACTTCGTTTATTGCGAACCATCTGCGAGAGGAGACGAGACCATATGATGCAAAGAAGAGAATTGAAGTGAATGACGTCTCTTTTCTTTCACTGGAAACTCACACCCAACCCAAGCGAGGAAATAGTCGTTGTTTATGGGTACTTGATAAAACGGAGTAGAACAGAATTTGGGGTGCTGGCTCTGGTCTGGTCAACATTGGGTGGAGCAGAGACAATTATACTGTCAGTGGTCGTTTTCGTAAAGGCTTTCATAAGAATTTGATTGTATATCTCTTCTCAAAAAAGCGATGAACGGACAGAGATAGAGATTTCCCAAGCGTAGCTTAGATGTGGCACAAGGCCGAAAGCATGGGGCATCCAGTGAGGATCGAACTCACTTTTCAGTAGTAACTGGTCTAGCAAGACAAGCTTGCTAACCATTACACCACGCCGAGGTGCCCCGAACGGACAGAGGTATATCGCTTAGAATGTAAATTTTTAATACATAATATTTTTTTTAATCAATTCACTCCAAGCAAGGCAATAATGCCATTAAGATGCAAGTAGCTGCTGGGGACTGAAAGAAAATGAGAAGACTTAAGAGGGAACCGGAAACCCAATCCTAAACAGAAGACAAGGGTTAAACACCTACTACTGTTCAAATGCAATTAGGGTCTTGTTCTCCTTCTTGTGGGGAGGCAAGACTCCCAAGGCATCTCGGGAGATATGTTACCTTCACCTTTTTGAAGGCGTTCTGGGTATACCTAGCGCTGAGATTTGTCAGCATACGCTTCGCATCGTGTTCCTAGATCGAATATGTTCGCAAGCGGATGGGAATGACGAATTCTTGAAGGAAGACGCCAGTAAGAACTTCCCATCCCTAAGAAGTGTGTACTCGTGCCCGATGTTTAGCCCGAGGCGAGTTCTCTTTCTATCGTGAATGCCGGTTAGCTATCAAGTTCCTCTTATGGGCGACGGATGGCCTCTCCGACGTCCGGGTGTTGTCCTGTAAGGCATTATATTTGGTGTTAGTGAGTGGGGTCTGTTCAAGATGGTTTGATTGGTGAGCTAGGTATAACGAAGCAGGAGGCTCGCTCCAATGGCCTCGGGTGCCTGAGTTGAAATGCCTCACTAACGCTGAGGCATCATTCATCTGGCTGGTGTTGCGAAGGACCCTTTGGGTCGGCAAAAAATTGTTCAGCAGGCTTGGATAATTCTCCAAACTGCGTTCGTTGCTGTGTGTCGGTGGAGATCCTGGGTCACACCTTCTTCCACTGCAGGGTCGTTGTCCCGTTGTGCAAGATTATTGAAGACATCATGGTTCGCATGCTGCGCGGAAAGTTTTTTGTCCTAATGCCAAGTTCTGTTTGTTGCAATATGGTAACATCGTTAACTAAATCTGAGCATTATGTGTTCTTGTCGTTTTAGGTGTTATGCGAGTCATGACATGGACGACGCGACAGAAAGAATTCTATGGGACGAGAAGTTTACCTCTTCCCAACTGATCTTGTTCTTTAGACGTCAGCTTAAATCAAAATCAGAACGGAAAGGCGACGACTCCCTCCATCAGAATTTGGCAAAAGGTGGGTGAATCTTGCGCGTGTCTCTCGGATGAAAGGAGCCGACTTAGAGTGGCATTTTGATGCCGGCTATTCGGAATCCTGTATTAAACATTGGCAACCCCGACCAAAATAGGTTAGTTTTGCCTTTAGTTTTTACGCCAAGTTAACTTAGCTAGGGCATGTATGCCTATTAGCCACTCTGCTTTACATTCTTGCGTTGTAGCCTTTCCTTGGCAAATTAAAGGCTAATCTGGTCCTACGTGGAAATCTACCTACCTGGTGGTACCATACTCCACCTATGCTGATGACGTTTCTCTTGTTGTGTCGAGCAGAGCCGAGAATGACGAAGTCGGCAAAGAAATCAAAGGGTACGAGACGGTGACAGGGGCCAAGATCAGCTGCGATAAGAATGTTGGCTTGCGGTTGGACGCGTGAAATAGAGTTTCGCTTTTTGGGTCTTTCCTCTGGACGCACGGACAGGTCAAGATACTCGGCGTCTGGTTCGGTCCCGATCCCTTGCTGGTTGGAGGTGCCAGAGAAGTTCGAGGTCGCAGTTCGTCTGTGGTGTCGGAGGAATCTTTCATTAAAGGGGAAGATGGAAGTATGTGTTTCGCACATCTACCCAATTCTCCATTACCGACTCTCCGTGCTTCCACTCCCATACTAATGCAATTACTTAGGGTCCCGTTCTATGACGAGAAGAACTTCGCTTAAAGGGACTTAAAGGTTGAATACCTTGTCTGATCGGCTAAGTTCTCTGTAGCCTAGTCGGTCGAAAACACGTTCTTTCTAACGAATGTTCCCTTTGCCTAGAGTAACGCAGGTTCGGATTTTGCCGGTGAACGCTTATTTTCTTTAATAAGATTTTCTCGAATATTTAGGCCGGTAGACGGAAATAAAAAAAAAATATGCTGTTTAATACTCAAATACGAGTATCCAGTAAAAATGAATATATATATATATATATATATATATATATATATATATATATATGTTGTGGTAGGATCCACCTAATTTGTATAGTGGAGTACCGACCATATAAATATGGTTGGTACCGGGAAGAGAGGAGAAATCAAGAGATTCAACCAGAGACTCTGCCTGACTGCGACCAGTCAGCACATTCTCCAGGAACGGTCTTACCAGGAATATACAAAAGACTATATGTAAATATTGTGTACACTTTCTTGTTTCAATACATTTTATTCTAAGTACCTTTTGTGTTGCATTATTATTCCATGCATTAATCAAGTTTCAACAATATATATATATATAATGTTATCGAAGAAAATCTAAGCATAAAATTTGACTCTTCATCTTTGTTGTTGCTATTACAACGTTTCGGCCCTTTTGCAATCTGGTCTTCGTTAGATCCCCGTCTAGAAGTGTGACCTTTATGGATTTCGAGCCGGATACTTTATTTAATCTACGAGGGTGGACTGATCTCGTTCCGCTGCCCAGGCCTAGAGTCTCAGTGAAACGAGGCATGGCTGATCATGTATAGAGGGAAAACGGAGGGAGATAAGCAACTCCCGTGGGAATGAAATAAAAATACTAGACAGAGAAGAAAACGGGAGAATCAGATATTTGAAAAAATCTTCTGGGCTATCGCAAATCTCCTCAGTAGGCCTAGCAGAGAAATAAGTATAATTTTCATAAAGAAAGAAAGAAAAGAAGGCAGTACGGTTTCAGTAGCGCAAGAAAACAGAAGAGGCGGCGAAGGAGATCAAGCCTGATAGCAGCAACAACAAAGACAGTGACAGACAGGAAAGAAAAACAATAGGTTTATGGCTCCATGTTTTATGTTCAGGTCAATATACTCTAAAAATTAAATAAAAGGTTCAGTCCGAAATTCCATGAAGGTTACACGGATCAATATCTGAAGAAATTTGGTGGACAGAGCGGTCGGAGCGTTGTTATAACAACAACAAGTATAAGGACAATAGTTAAAATTTTACTAATGAAAATAATAACTTATCATAGAAATTCAGAAAAAAAGAAAGGTTCTAAATATAATTTTGTACAGTTTTTGTAAATATTTAAGTGTTTACATCAACTGCGATATAACAGGTAGGATTTATTTAGAAAATAAGTCAGAATTAACATTCTTTTATGATAAGGTGAAAATAACTATCTTATAGAATTGGAAAAAAAATGACCACATGAAAATTATTTATCTTAGAATCTAGCTCTCACCGTCTTTTATAAATAGATCTATCAGTGCTCTGAAAATTGCAGGGCAACGGAGAAAAGAGATTAAGATATTCGACTCGCATACGCTGTTCGAATTCTCCGAATTTTGGGGTACCATCTTGTATATAGGACATACATTGTATATTGTAGAAAAAATAATCATCAGCAGCAGTAGGAGAAGAAGAAGAAGAAGAAGAAGAAGAAGAAGAAGAAGAAGAAGAAGAAGAAGAAGAAGAAGAAGAAGAAGTGATGGAAGAAGAAGAGCAGGATGGTAGTGACAAGAGAAAGAAAAGAACAGCAACAAAAATGTGGAAAGATAAAGAGGATAACGAGAAGAAGAAGAAAAAAGAAGAAGACGGAGGAGGAGTAAAACAAGAACAACAAGAGGAAGAAAAGAAGATGAAGGGAAAAGGAGAGGGAAGCCGGCAACAAAAAGAATGTGGGACGATAAACAGAAGAAGAAGAAGAAGAAGAAGAAGAAGAAGAAGAAGAAGAAGAAGAAGAAATAGAACAACAATAATAACAGCAGCAAGATCAAGATAGTGGTGAAAAGAAAATAAAGGAAAAAGAAGAGAATGTGTAAAGATAAAGAGGATAGTGAGTATAAGACGATAAAGAAGAAGAAGAAGAAGAAGAAGAAGAAGAGCAAGATAATAATGAAATAGGGATAGATAGAAAAAAAGGAAGAACAAGAGCAGCAAGAAAAGGAATGTAGAAAAATAAAGAGGAGGGTAGTAGTAGTAGTAGTAGTAAGAAGAAGAAGAAGAAGAAGAAGAAGAGCAACAAGATCAAGACAGTGGTGAAAAGAAGATAAAATGAAAAGAAGAGGAAGAACAAGAAATGCAACAAAAAGAATGTGGGACGGGTATAGGAAGACGTTGAGAAGAAGAAGAAGAAGAAGAAGAAGAAGAAGAAGAAGAAGAAGAAGACAAATAGAGATAAGACGAATGATTTTGAAAGAGAAGAAGAAGAAGTGGAGAGATGATGAGGATGTTAAGAAGAAGAGCAATAATAAGATGATGGGACAAAGAAGAAGAAAAAGAAGAAGAAAGAGAAGAGGAAGAAGAACAATAATAAATAGAAAGTGGAAAGAAGATGATGTTAAGATGAGCAAGAAGAAGAAAAAGAAAAGAAGAAAAATTCTTATAAGAAGAAAGAGCAAAGAAGATGATGTTAAGAAGAAGAAGAAGAAGAAGAAGAAGAAGAAGATGAAAAAGAAGTAGAGAGAAGAAGATGATGATGTTAAGAAGAAGAGCAATAATAAGATGATGGGACGAAGAAGAAGTAAAAGAAGAAGAAGAAGGAGAAGAAGAGGAAGAAGAACAACAATAAGAAGAAAGTGGAAAGAAGATGATGTTAAGATGAGCAAGAAGTAGAAGAAGAAGAAAAGGAGAACAATTCTTATAAGAAGAAAGAGCAAAGAAGATGATGTTAAGAAGAAGAAGAAGAAGAAGAAGAAGAAGAAGAAGAAGAAGAAGAAGAAACTGAAGACAAGAACAAGGAAAAGAAAACGTCAAAGCTTGTAACATGTATTACAAATAGTCACAAAGGAATTAAATTGTTTGTTCAATTCTTAGTTTTATCTATCGACGCCGTTCACATCTCTCGGGTTTGTAAAACATTTCAAGTGAAAACCAAGTCTTCACCGCCTGCTGTCGGCATCTGGGTAATAGAATCGTCTTTTACTAACATCGGAAGTGACACGAGATGACGTCAAAGCGGTGTTCCCTCGAGACTGTACCTCGAGGAAACATGACACGGAAATATTCTTGTGTGCGTAGCACGGGTTAGGGGCTGGTTTTGAGGTGGTTGTTTTTGGTATAAACCAGATATCATGATGTGGCAAGGGTGATTAACAGAAGCAAGGAAAAATGTCGGATGGGAAAGAAATACCATGAAATGTTAGATGCAAGGACAACAAAGATGGATGGACGGAAAGAAGGTGTGGGAAACAAGAAAGATCATTGAGAAAAGAAGTAACGGAAGAAGACGAATAATAGTAATAATAATAATAACAATAATAATAATAATAAAAATAATTAGAAGAAGAAGAGGACAAAGAAGAAAAAGAAGAAGAATAATAGAGATTAGAAGAACGATTTGGAAAAATATTTTGGAAGTGCCATATAAAAAAGAGTGAGGGAAGAAGAAATGGTAGAAGAAGACTAATAATAATAATAATAAGAAGAAGAAGAAGAAGTAGAAGAAGAAGAAGATGAAGAAGAAGAAGATGAAGAAGAAGAAGAAGACAAATAGAGATAAGACGAATGATTTTGAAAGAGATATGAAGAAGACTGAAGAAGATGAAAAATGAAAAACGCAAGAGGAAAATAAGAAAAAAAAAAGGACAGAGGAGGAAGAAAAAAGAAAAATGCGAAAATAAAATAAAGCAAATAAATAAAAAATGTCGTACAATTGTTTAAGAAGAAATTTTGTGAAAGAAAAAGAAGAAAAAAATTAAAAAGAAACAAGAGAAAAAAAAGAAATAAATAAAGAAGCAAATGTGTATCTAGAAACAGGAAAAATGAGGTGAAAAATGACTTCGAAAGTCGAAGAAGTAGAAGAAAGTAAGGGAGAACGGGAAGAGTTCTAATAAAAGAAAAAAAATAATATTTTATAAATAATTATAATACAAGGAATAAAATCTGAGACATAGCAGAAACATAAGAAAGCAGTAAAAGGAAATGAAATACTAAATTATATTTATATTAATAATAATCAGAATAAAGCATCAGATAATGATCAGAACAGTAAGATGGAATCATAATAATAATAATAAGAAGAATAAGAAGAATAAGAATAACAGCAACAACAGCAACAACAAAGAGAAGAAGACTAACAAGATGAAAACGTGTTTGGCGAAAGTCGAAACCTGTAATAAAATAAAGCAATAATAATAAAAAGAACCATAAAATCCAAGAGAGTGTAGTGAATAAAAAATAACTTGAATGAATGTAAATGAAACATAAAAATGACAGGCTCTGGCAGAAGAAGATGAAGAACCAAAAAGAGAAGAAGAAGAAGAAGAAGAAGAAGAAGAAGAAGAAGAAGAAGAAGAAGATGATGATGATGATGGTTAAAAAAATAATGATGATGGTGCTGTTAGTGGCGGAAAGAAGTAGTAGAAGAAGAAATAGACGAAGAGAAATAAGGAGAATGAAAGTGTCATATGACATAGAGTAAGGAAAAAAGAAGAAAAGATGAATAAATCGAAGAAGGAAAAGAAAGAAAGAAAAAAGAATGAAAAAATGTGGAAGTAAAATAAAGTAAATGAAGAAAAGCACAAAACAACAGCTGAAGAAAAAGGATTGTGAAAGAAAAAGAATAAAAGAAAGTAAGAAAGAAAAGAACAAGAAGAAGAAAAAAGAAGGAAAAAAGAAATAAAGAAAGACGTTAGAAGAAGAAAAAGTGAATGTACAAAGAAGAAGAAGAAGAAGAAGATATACACAAGATCACGATGATGGTGGTAGGAAGAAGAAGAAGAAGAAGAAGAAGAAGAAGAAGAAGAAGAAGAAGAAGATATTCACAAGATCACGATGATGGTGGTAGGAAGAAGAAGAAGAAGAAGAAGAAGAAGAAGAAGAAGAAGAAGAAGATATTCACAAGATCACGATGATGGTGTTAAGAAGAAGAAGAAGAAGAAGAAGAAGAAGAAGAAGAAGAAGAAGATATTCACAAGATCACGATGATGGAGGTAGGAAGAAGAAGAATAATAAGAAGAAGAAGATATTCACAAGATCACGATGATGGTGGTAGGAAGAAGAAGAACAAGAAGAAGAAGAAGAAGAAGAAGAAGATATTCATAAGATCACGATGATGGTGGTAGAAGAAGAAGAAGAAGAAGAAGAAGAAGAAGAAGAAGAAGAAGAAGAAGATATTCACAAGATCACGATGATGGTGGTAAGAAGAAGAAGAAGAAGAAGAAGATATTCACAAGATCACGATGATGGTGGTAGGAAGAAGAAGAAGAAGAAGAAGAAGAAGAAGAAGAAGAAGAAGAAGAAGAAGATGATCAAGAAGAAGAAGAAGAAGATATTCACAAGATCACGATGATGGTGGTAGGAAGAAGAAGAAGAAGAAGAAGAAGAAGAAGAAGAAGAAGATATTCACAAGATCACGATGATGGTGGTAAGAAGAAGAAGAAGAAGATATTCACAAGATCACGATGATGGTGGTGGGAAGAAGAAGAAGAAGAAGAAGAAGAAGAAGAAGAAGAAGAAGAAGAAGAAGAAGAAGAAGATAAGAAGATACAAGATCACGATGATGGTGGTAAGAAGAAGAAGAAGAAGAAGATATTCATAAGATCACGATGATGGTGGTAGGAAGAAGAAGAAGAAGAAGAAGAAGAAGAAGAAGAAGAAGAAGAAGAAGAAGATATTCACAAGATCACGATGATGGTGGTAAGAAGAAGAAGAAGAAGAAGATATTCACAAGATCACGATGATGGTGGTAGGAAGAAGAAGAAGAAGAAGAAGAAGAAGAAGAAGAAGAAGAAGAAGAAGAAGAAGAAGAAGAAGAAGAAGAAGATAAGAACAAGTTGATGGTGGTAGAAGATCAAGAAGAAGAAGAAGAAGATATTCACAAGATCACGATGATGGTGGTGGAAGAAGAAGAAGAAGAAGAAGAAGAAGAAGAAGAAGAAGATATTCACAAGATCACGATGATGATGGAAGAAGAAGAAGAAGAAGAAGAAGAAGAAGAAGAAGAAGAAGAAGAAGGTAGAAGAATAAGATCACGATGATGGTGGTAGGAAGAAGGTAAGAAGAAGAAGAAGAAGAAGAAGAAGAAGATATTCACAAGATCACGATGATGGTGGTAGGAAGAAGAAGAAGAAGAAGAAGAAGAAGAAGAAGATATTGACAAGATCACGATGATGGTGGTAGGAAGAAGAAGAAGAAGAAGAAGAAGAAGAAGAAGAAGAAGAATCACAAGATCACGATGATGGTGGTAGGAAGAAGAAGAAGAAGAAGAAGAAGAAGAAGAAGAAGAAGAAGAAGAAGAAGATATTCATAAGTTCACGATGATGGTGGTAGGAAGAAGAAGAAGAAGAAGAAGAAGAAGAAGAAGAAGAAGAAGAAGAAGAAGATATTCACAAGATCACGATGATGGTGTTAAGAAGAAGAAGAAGAAGAAGAAGAAGAAGATATTCACAAGATCACGATGATGGTGGTAGGAAGAAGAAGAAGAAGAAGAAGAAGAAGAAGATGTTGATAAAGAAGAAGAAGAAGATATTCACAAGATCACGATGATGGTGGTAGGAAGAAGAAGAAGAAGAAGAAGAAGATATTCACAAGATCACGATGATGGTGGTAGGAAGAAGAAGAAGAAGAAGAAGAAGAAGAAGAAGAAGAAGAAGAAGAAGAAGAAGAAGAAGAAGATATTCACAAGATCACGATGATGGTGGTAGGAAGAAGATGAAGAAGAAGAAGATATTCACAAGATCATGATGATGTTGGTAGGAAGAAGGAGAAGAAGAAGAAGAAGAAGATGAAGATGATGAAGAAGAAGAAGTTCACGATGATGGTGGTAGAAGAAGAAGAAGAAGAAGAAGAAGAAGAAGAAGAAGAAGAAGATCACAAGATCACGATGATGGTGTTAAGAAGAAGAAGAAGAAGAAGATATTCACAAGATCACGATGATGGTGGTAGGAAGAAGAAGAAGAAGAAGAAGAAGATGTTGATAAAGAAGAAGAAGAAGAAGATATTCACAAGATCACGATGATGGTGGTAGGAAGAAGAAGAAGAAGAAGAAGAAGAAGAAGAAGAAGAAGTAGAAGAAAAGAAGAAGAAGAAGAAGAAGAAGATATTCACAAGATCACGATGATGGTGGTAGGAAGAAGAAGAAGAAGAAGAAGAAGAAGAAGATATTCACAAGATCACGATGATGGTGGTAGGAAGAAGAAGAAGAAGAAGAAGTAGAAGAAGAAGAAGAAGAAGATGATATTCATAAGTTCACGATGATGGTGGTAGGAAGAAGAAGAAGAAGAAGAAGAAGAAGAAGAAGTAGAAGAAGAAGAAGAAGAAGATATTCACAAGATCACGATGATGGTGTTAAGAAGAAGAAGAAGAAGAAGAAGAAGAAGAAGAAGATATTCACAAGATCACGATGATGGTGGTAGGAAGAAGAAGAAGAAGAATAATAAGAAGAAGATATTCACAAGATCACGATGATGGTGGTAAGAAGAAGAAGAAGAAGAAGATATTCACAAGATCACGATGATGGTGGTAAGAAGAAGAAGAAGAAGAAGAAGAAGAAGAAGAAGAAGAAGAAGAAGAAGAATAAGAAGAAGAAGTTGATGAAGAAGAAGAAGAAGAAGAAGAAGATATCACAAGATCACGATGATGGTGGTAGGAAGAAGAAGAAGAAGAAGAAGAAGAAGAAGATATTCACAAGATCACGATGATGGGTAAGAAGAAGAAGAAGAAGAAGAAGAAGAAGAAGAAGAAGAAGTATTCACAAGATCACGATGATGGTGGTAGGAAGAAGAAGAAGAAGAAGAAGAAGAAGAAGAAGATATTCACAAGATCACGATGATGGTGGAAGAAGAAGAAGAAGAAGAAGAAGAAGAAGAAGAAGAAGATATTCACAAGATCACGATGATGGTGGTAGGAAGAAGAAGAAGAAGAAGAAGAAGAAGAAGAAAGATATTGATGAAGAAGAATGATGGAAGAAGAAGAAGAAGAAGAAGAAGAAGAAGAAGAAGAAGAAGAAGAAGAAGAAGATATTCACAAGATCACGATGATGGTGGTAGGAAGAAGAAGAAGAAGAAGAAGAAGAAGAAGAAGAAGATGTTGATGAAGAAGAAGAAGAAGAAGATATTCACAAGATCACGATGATGGTGGTAGGAAGAAGAAGAAGAAGAAGAAGAAGAAGAAGAAGAAGAAGATATTCACAAG